AGATGTATGCCTGAAATTAATTGTTAAATATAGCTACACCACAGTCTTGATCAATATGAATTCACTTTATCTGTTCATTAGATGCTTAGCCCTATCCGGCACATATCAACTAAACACAGATTAGATAAGGGTACAGATGGAGACTTATCCATGAGACACGTGGTTTAAGAAGCGTTCACTTTTTGGATAGCGCATATCACTTTGTTACTGGCTGTTACTCTTAACTCTCCGTCTCTGATTTTACTAGAATAAATTAATCACTAACTAATAACAAATGACCTTGGTAGACGGATGTCTAAATAGGATACATGAACATTTAGCAAATCAGTGCAAAAAGTGGCATTACACTACTCCTGGCTTTCACTGTTAGTCAATAACATAGAGAGGATTTGGCCATGGTGGACAGCTGTGTAATCCATAACTTTATAATGTTGATAAAAGTCAAGTTATTTAGTTTATTTACATTATGCTTACTAAATTATTCAACAATTTACTATAGTTCTGTATTGAGTGGTTAGTGTCATCTGGTAAGAAGTAATCCTTTCGCCATATCTGGTGTCACCTATCAGCACGAAGTACATGTAGTCACCAGGAAATTTACTGCTCAAACTCATATCAACAAATTCCCCTAACTTCCAAACTTTGTTAACATAAATCCGTTATTTCTCATTTCTTGATTATACTGGTGATAATTCTTTCCACATCTCTGGTATCGTCGTTACGTCATCCCCACTGCACGTGGTAGGTGTAGATTCGACGAACGAAGATTGAATGATCAATCTTCTCCGCCATCTACCTCTATATTACTTTTTAGAACTTTAGTTGTCCCAACTTGTGTGTGATTGTGTGTTAGTGCATGCATTGAGACTGTTGAGTTTCCCTCTTAAATATTCATCTTATTGGGGTCAATCATTCTACACTCAGCTAAATTCGTATGTTCCGATAACCTGACTGTCCCTGATGTGACCTATGTAGTTGACCTCAATCATCGCAATGTATTTTGGACATGAAATCATTTTGCCTAATCGGATTAATGGGATTCTTTAGCCTACAGAGTACATCTTTGAGAGAGAGAGAGTTTGTAGGTTTAAATGCCACCCTGTTTCATGCTTTATCAAGAATTTTAAGTAGGGTTTCGGAGGTAACTTCCGTATATGGTAAAACTGGAAATGTCTTAAGTTCTTTCCTACTTAAGTTATGGTTAAATAATCTCGCCACATTTTTCTCTTATTCTGATCTTTTAGGAACTTCCTAGAGAATTTTATGGAAAAGTCATTTATTTTGTTATTCAAGCCTGTTTTATCAGATGACGGATGAGATGACTTAAAGTCTAAATATCTATTGGTGTGTTAGCTTTTCATAAACGTTGATAAATAATTAGCCTTCTCCAATTCGCTCTATGTTACAATCTAACATGGCTAATTCTCCATGTTCCTTTTCAAACTCAATTGTAAATTTAATTTCTCCCACTACAGGCAAGTTCTGTTTATAACACCAAGAAAGTGTCAACCACATATCTCCACCATACCTTTTTGGTAAGATTAAATGTTTTAATAGAGCTATTTTCCCAACTGTTCAAGAAAGTGTCTGCTGTGCTTGGAATACTGGTGATCCCCCTACCATCCCTTCTATCTACCTGGATATTTCGCCCTAGAATTCTGAATTCTCAGAATAATTTACTCAGTAGGCGGCTTTGTTCTGAGAGTTAGTTCCTTTTTAACTATTTATAAGGCAATAATGGTTAGTGTGTTAGTATGACGACTAGTTAAATAGAAGCTTAACATTTTTTATAATTAATTCCCATTTGGATATCATTTAACTTCTTTTTCATTTTGCATGAATTGATTAGTCTACAGTTTATGCGATTTCTGATCTGAAATAATATTAATGCTTAGTATTTCAATAACTCAAAGTAGCAGTATTTCTGAAACCAACTATTGATCTTGTAAGGTAACCTGGTTAGTGCCTCTTAATTGAACCAGGTATTCTACCGCTATTATTAATTTCAGACATTAAGTTACACCGTTTAAACTAACCCAGTGACAGCTTCACTCGACGTACCAAATCTGCTGTAGATTTCTTGAACTTATTCATCACTTTATCTACCAGCTTCTTAATTTCTTCACATTGGCCTGTTGTAATGTGTTCATCGACTTTAATGATACAGTCCGACTTATTCATCACTACAACTGAATGGCCTCTATCAGCCTTTGCAGTGACTATGTTTTTATCAATTTTGAAATTTGTTTTGCCAGTCTTGCTGACTGCGTTATGTTTCAGTTTCTTTCCTTGTTTTACTGCTAATACACATAATGGTTGGACCTTTTTAGCTGTCGCTTCATCGAATGAACCTAGTGCCAGGAGTAACATAATCGGATTTCAATTCATTGACTGTCATGTGAAGCGCTTTTATCTCACTAACGAATTGTCCTTTTGTTGACATGATACAAATTAAAAACCTAACATCTTGTTACCAGTTTGTATACACCATTCAGTTATACAAGGGACCAGACACAATGTGATTAATGTGAGGTTGGTTTTTCACATTTCAGAACTAGATCGTACAAGAATTTATTTACAACTGAAAATAGACCTAGCTTCTTAGTGTCAAAAAGTAAGCGTGGAACAAGTGAAGCTTTGCAGATTTTAACATCTTATCTAAGATAATAAGCAATGAAAACCTATGTTTTGACGAGTCTTAAAATCTCAAGAGAGTCTCAGTAATACTTAATACACGATAATATATCTCCAATAAAGGTTACCTTTATGAGATTTAGTTGTCAGAATAAAACTGACTGTTAGTAAGTGGTTTCATGAAACATCTCTGTGAGTAAGTAAAATTTCAGTGCAAAGTGCATTAAAATTTATACTTTTCTCTTCCCCAGCAAATATTTAAAACCGATCTTTGTCAGTTATGACTCATCTGTTCTTTTGTCCACTTTGGAAGTGATACACAAAATTCAATTATTCCATACAAAAGATAACAGAAAAATCTATGGACAATCCATCTAAGCAAATACCACAGCTAAATAATCCTAATGGAATTGTTGTTTTGAATAGCGAAAAGATGTGGAAGAAAAAAAATTCATGCGAATATATGAGACCATGTGTTAACTTTCATTCTTGCTGTTTCCTGAAAACATATAACCGAAAAACATTTCGGGAATAAATAGAAAAATGAATAAGGAATCAGAGGGAATATAATGAGTTAGATTATTCAGAATACTTTATTTACTTACTTATTTCATTAGGGAAAATAAACTAACGCTTGTTACATATTAAGTGTGTGTGTGTTTGTCTGAGAAAGTAAGTAAACTTCACTGAGATCCTAGTCAGCTTGTGTTGATCGACAAAAGGTCACCTTTTAGGAAAGCATAATTTGATTTTGATAATTAACAAAGAGGAACAGATTTTTTCACTCACACTGGAAAATAAACCTGACTGTTTATCATGACCAGTCATATTTCTCCAGGTGTAGTAGTAGTTGCTTTTAGAACAACAAGAGTGATGAAAAGTAGCCAGAGAAAGCTATATGTTAGAAAGACATGCTAAAATAATACTTAAAGGCTTACACTATTAGAAAATTGTACAAATATGTCGTACGCTAGTGATATTTATGAGTATAGTTTTCTACTTTTCAGTTTAAGTTATTTGATTTTTAGTCTACCACCATGGTCTATGTTAGTTTTCCTAGCATTCCTTGACTGCTTTAAGTGGTTATGTCAACAATGTCCTAATAGTAGAGGTTCGATTCATGTATGTTAATGATAATAATAATATGTGACAAAGCAGTCAGCGACTACCCAGATCAAACTGCCCGGCAGAAGCATCATTCGATCGAATGTTTCATTGAGAAACTCCTATTACGCACAGATAAGGAAAAATATCGATACTGATTAAAACACCTATACGTTCATCTATAAAAAGGTTATCAGACAGTTACACCACCTCAACCACTGTTACATACAGACTAAATTCGTCTGATGGATAAGAAAAGTTTTTTTAATTACTTATGATACTGAATAACGAGTAACAAAAATAAGCTTCATAATCGGATAGGTAACTTTTGGAGTAGCCTTTTTGTGAAAAAGCAGTATGTGACTGTGATTAATCAAAACCACTGCAGATTTGGGTAATATGAAATTATGGAATGAAAAAGGAAATTAGTTCAGACAAAATCTTTATGGGAAACGAAAACACACAACTGATATAAGTATAAAACTTAGGCACTGTGGTAGAGTATAACTCCATTATGGATAAGATTTTATTTTGATAAATCACACAGTGTTATACAGTAATATTAACTGATGACGTTTCGAGCACAATTTACTGCTCATAATCATATCAAGTCACTCACACAACTTTTTACTTCATTTATATACATGAGCGAAATTCATATATACAACTCTTTTGAAAATAAAGGTCAAAACTCAACATGGTGGGACTACCTACCATGTTCTAACAAGAGCAGTTAGTTTAGAATGAAGGCGAGTAACAGAAATAAATCTAATAATATCATCTGAATGGCATATGAAAAGAGGGGAAGACTGGAAATTAATTGCATGAAAAAAAACCCAGAGAAGGTGAATACACGACATGGATAAAATCATAAATTGTTGAAAAAACTGAACACCTAAATGTCCTCTGGTCTGAGGAAAAGTTGTCGATATTTCCTTTGTGTTGTAAATGAAAAAAGAACTTTTAGACTGTTCACTTATCGATTAGGTGACTATACTTTAACAGGTCACTTCAGATGACATAATGCTATCATATTTTATACAGGGATTACATTGAAAGAATTATCCTAAACAAACGTTCTCACATAAGAAAAGACTCACATTTTTTTGCATTTTATTTGTTTCGTTATCGTGTTATCTACTCCTTATTACATAATGGCATGTACTTTAGCCGGGCAAACGATTTAAGAAAATCGATTTTATTATGTTATATGTAAAAAATCTTCAAAAATAAAAGTATGATTAATATTCACATAAACTTACAAGTTTGGTCACTCTCCTTCCTTCGATATGCATAGTGTTCAGTGGCTGAAATATAAATCCAGGCAAAAATGATTAAAATTGCATTCATATAATTTTGTTGAAAATGAAATGATTAAACCATTATAAAACAATAACATTCATTAGACTTTTAAAAGAGTCTACACTTTGCACAGTTCACGAAATTATACCTTCAGACCACTCAGAGATAAATCTGCCAGCGTTTTATCATTAACAAAGTGTTTTTTTCACCTTTACTTTAAGCACAATATATTGACAGTATTTGCCGGTATTTCACTGATCTAATAGTCCTTTACTATTCAGTGGGTTATCAAATCATTTAAATGTGATATCAGGTGATGATTAGTAGTGAGTTTAACTTATTTACTAATGTGATCATGTAAGTTAAATTTGTACAGCCAACAATGAAGTCTTCTACTATAGATATTTGCTGTATGCTAGTGATATGAATTTGTAAGTAGAATACTGATGTTGTTGATATTATGGCGAAGTTGATAGGATTGATGTACTGATGTGAATAACGAAGCAAGTTTGTAGAGAGAAAGAATGGAGATAATTGTGAAACAACATAAGAAGCATGAAACGAAGACAAAAGAAGCGAAAGACGAATAACTTTTGCTAACTTATGCTTCAATACAAAGCTTTTATATGTTGCCATCATTTCATGTCACTTTAGCAAATAAACAATTCTGCTGCTAAGGACAACTGTGCTTCTATGCCATAACAGAATGGCAATACTGAAAAAATTAGAATGAAAAAGATCCCAGATCACTTTTTCCACCATTGACTAATCCATCAAAATGCCTACACATTGAAAATACTCTTCATACACTAAAAGTATATTCCTCTGACTGAACAGTTCCAGCATTATAATTGTAATTTTATCTAGTGAGAGAATTTGAGCATTAAATATTCTCATGATAAAGTTCACTGTGCGTATCTGTAAGCTGATTATGATAAGAACGCAGTGACTGTGACAAGTTCATAGTGAATCTAGACTAAAATGGAAATTGATTGGTTACAGGTTTGATCATGAGGTGACATCATTTATGGAACCATTAGGAGACCAGGCAGTCCTGGACATCTATTTCGTCCTTGTTTGGGACTCTTCGACAGCGCTCACCCTCCGGAGTTCGAACCCAGGATCTTCCTGTTACAAGGTGGGCTCAGAGACCATTCAGCCTCTATAGTCCGATCCGACGGCCCATGGAATCAAAATTCTACCAATTCTCGATATATACAGCACAACCACCAGTCAAAGTCCTACGCGAGTGATTGTTCTCCTGCCTCACTTAGTAGACGCCGCTGAACACGACTCCTGACTAGAGCTCCAGATAACATCCTGCATAGAACCAGATGGTAGTGAGCATCGGATATATTATCAAGTGATGGTTTGCAAACCAACACTTGATAACAAAACTGCAAGCTCAGTCTTTTAATTAAAAAAGTGATTCTTTGTCAGGATTGTCGATTATTGGAGAGAACTACATTAAACCATAGCTCCTGGCTGTTACATTTGGCATATTTGAAGGCAGAGCAAGACTGTTCTTTATGATATGAATGAATGTTCACTTTCTAGAGTGTGATGCTTATTCACCTTCATCTAATTGGTTTGTGTATGCTTTTCATAAATTACGCTAGAGAGTCATATGATAAATTCTACTTCCTTAAAATTTCCTGATTCTACCTACATTGCACTTGATTTGTTGCTATCTTAAGTAACTGTTTGCATGAACTTCTAAAATACTAAGGAGCTCCATAAACTGTAAGTCTACTGAAGTCCCTTCTGTGTCCACTGGCACAGTGTGAACTAACAATATATACAGATAAAGGTTTTTCCATGTAATTTATTTGCTTTATTTTTGGACCAGACATAGTAATGAAAGTTAGGTTGAGATGATAATGTGAAAATTATGTCCACACAGACAAAAAATAATTTTCGATAATATAGTTTTTCTTTCAAATTTTTTAATAATTCCCTATTAGTAGACATAATTTCTTTTCTGTCGATAAAAATTTCATTTCCGTATACATACAGGCAGATGATTTCTCAAGAACATCTATTCAAAGTGATTATCAGGTGATTGTATGTACAAGCCAATTATCAGTCAATTAGTTAATAATCTGATTAGCTGTGTTCAGTTTATATTAAAACGTTTGCGTTATGCGAGCTCACCCTAAATAACTCAAAGTTAAATTATGAGTATCTTCAAAGATTGCTCTTGAAATTTACAGTGGTCCGAAACTTCTCAATATTTCACTACCAATAACCATTCAACCTTAGAATAAACTTTTAACTTGGACATGTAATTATATCAAAGAGGTTAGACACTATTCGCATTGGTATAGATAGATAGACACAGTATAGGCAAATGACTCAATGACAGATTGGAGTGTATATCAATAGATGTATATGAATTGAAACATACTGACAAAGTGACTGTGAACGAAAATTGAATTATTCTTATCCACTAGTGTCTAACTTCTAAAAGAATGATGCAAGTTTATAGACATGAAAAATCACAGGGATACGATAAACATTAGAATTATAAAACATCTGTGAGCAATTCTTCACATACTGAAGACCTCATCATCAATGATGAATTCGAAGCTTACACATTTATATTTACACAAATCACTTCACGTCTTTCTGTCGAACAAAATCAGTGTCAAGTCATGGAATATTAAAAATGCTTGGAACACCTGTCAGTTAAAGGATAAAAAAAGACAAACAGCCATGAGTCATCACAATTTTTGAAAACTTATGAGTGCACTTCGAAACGCATTCCTGATTTCTCTGTTTACAAATATCGTTCAGTCATAAGGATGATTAAAGTTTTTCTCCCTACTGAAATATTTCATTTGTGGAAAATCACCAAAATCTATTACGTAACTTAAATAAGGTTGTGTAACTGATAAGGTGAATGACACTTCGATTCACATTTTAATCTTTACAGGAAGTCGATTTCTGTTTTGTATATGAGTTGTCAGAAAATGATAAAAAAGATCGCATTGATTGTAATCACTGACATATGTCAACAGAAACTCGAAGTTGAAATGAGCGTATTGAGAAAAACAAGGCTATCTAGTTTAGATTTCCTCACTTTATCTTAAGTCAGATACGAATACAGTTAGCATAAGTTTATGAAATGATCAATACAGAATACCTTTAGAATGAAAAGAATGTCATCAGACGATCCAATCATCATCCTTATCTTGACAGTTTGTAGTTTAGCTGTATGTATAATCTTTTTCTCAAGTGCAGACTTAGTAACAAGACACATTTAACCGAATTGGTATATATTTGGCTTCTAGAGGTTAATGATAGATTAATTGGTTTGTTCAGTTTTGTCGGTTTTGGTAACTAAGTTGTGGTTGAATTTTAAAAATCACTAAGTAAAAGGCAGTGAGTTAAGTGATTTCACAAAAATGAAGTTGTCAGTTTATTGTCAAGTAAAAGAAGCATAGATACCGGAGTGATCAAAACAAGAACGAAACAGTTCCATTTAATTTAAACTGTCAGAACCCCATGTAGGCAACATTTCAAAATGTGCCATAAATCAGTTGTCATTATTGCAGGATAAAAAGTCAAAGTTTCGTGTGATCGAGAATGCATACCAACAGCCATGAAGCATCATGAAACCGTTTCTTTTATTCATGACTATCTCACTTTGCATTGTCTTTTAGTTTTAATCTTTATAGTAGATCCACCCATATTACGTTTTGATATGAAGTTCAGTAATTTCAGTTTTAAGCTGAAATTAGACCACGTTTCCGTCCGATTAATAAGTACGTGTTCTCACTATCAGTTTTGTTTGTCTTACGGAAACATCTGAGTTGGTTTTGTCGTTAATAGACTCTTCAAAAATAATGTATCTGAATAGTAACTGTATGTCAGTGTAATGACAAAATTACCACCAATTACTGAATGACGATTAAAGAGATTATACTTGATAAACAGAGCAACTCAGCTGTTAAAAATCGAACGTACACCAAACTTCAAGTGGCGTTAAATTTTTGATGGATACAGCTTAACGGTTGAACAAAACTAGTAAGTTACGTAAGGTTAAGTTCCTCGATGAAGTTCATTGTCCCAACATTGAATGACACCTGAGTTTCCTAGAGATTCAGTGCATGTCTTATTGATAAGTGCCGATAAACACAAGGCTTTGATGAAACAGTGCTATTAGCTGAACTTTACCGTCCAAGGTCTACTTAATAAGAGTGTGGGTTTTATCAGAAAAAGCGTAGTTTCAGAATAAGGTTTCGCAATCGTCAGTGAATCTAGGTGTCGTTATAAATAGCAAGGTTGCCTCCATTTTTTGTTCCGTAACTGTTTTCATTCGAAATGATTTTAATAGTTCATATCACCCTACAATATTCATGCAGTTCACTACAAATACCTACATTACAAATAATATGAAACAAAATTTTTACCTAGGACACGATTACAATGTAACACCAACAGCTTACTTGAGATTAAATTGCAAAACCAAATTAGCTAACTGTTATTTTAGCAGTACTTTTGTAACCACATATGAACTTGAAAATTTCTGTGAATCCAGGGATATGAATTATTTCCCCCCTTTCGTTTCACTTTTTGGTAGGGATCATAAGGATGTAGCTATTTTACCTCAGAAAAAGTCGAATTTTCAAATTTTTTTTTTTCACTGTACATGTCGGGCGTAGTGTAAAAAGTTCCCTTAAACTGTTTTCCCTTCCATACATTATTATTAGTAGTACTTTTTAGTCAATTAATACATTTTCAAAGATTCGTAAATGTGAATATGCTAAGCTTGCATTTATTAAGGGCAAAAGACAAATGCGAAATCAAAGATAACACTTTGAATTACTTGCTGTAATAGCAAGATTAATACTTGCTGGGGGAAAAATACGTGCAAAACAAGAAATTAGTCGAAAATGATTTTGCCATCCATTATACATCTAGATAAAATCACTGAATTTTACCTATTAAATGTGAAATCTATAGAGTTTGCAAGTGGATGCTGAAACAGCATTTTTTGTAGACTAAGACGCAAGACAAAGATGAAGAGATGCATGTAGATTCATTTTGAAGACTTGATATTTAATTAACCAGGAATTCAAAATATGGCCAGAAAGTAGTTTGTTCGCTAAGTTATTGTTTGTAAATACCCACCATAATGCTTACGTGCGAAAAAGGGTTAAACTTCAGCTTAACCAATGAAGCTGACATAAAGTATTCACTTTATTAGTTTTTGTCCACATGAAATCACAGAAGAAATCCTGCAAAAGTCATTAAAACAGAACAATACTTTTACATGATTAAAATTCAGCATGTTGCAAAGGAAAGTATTTTTTTCTTTGTCAACGGACTTATTGCATAAGTCACTTTGTCTCTGAAGTGAAACAATAACAGATAAGTACCCAGACATTTATGATGAATGTTAAGTAGAGAAGTAGATAACTGCTTTGTTATTAATAAACTTCAGTAACTAGATTGTGTTTGTGGATGGCATCCAGCTGCAGCACATGAAAAATGAGCAAAATATGATGTCCAAAGTGTTTATAGTTAAAATAAGAACACCTATTTATAGAAGAAAACAGTCTGTCAGTCTATAATCTGCAGTGATATGAAACCATACGAAAAACGAAAGTCCAGTTTTTTGCAATCCAAATCCTCCATCGTCACAGAGAAATAAAGGTAGCATAGTAGTTAATGCATGTACTACAATAGGTAGGGCAAAAAATCAATGACATATAAGGTGCTCCTTTAAAGACTGTCTCTACCAGTTTCTGTATAGATTTTAAATGTAAATTCTAAAGGAGATTATTACATCATTGTGAGATTTCTAAACGAATAAAAATAAAATGATATAATTCTATTTCACAGGTTCTCATCAGCTGCAGACTACCTGAAATTACAATGGTTATATAAATGATAATAACATACTTTAATGTTTGAGTAGTAGTAGAGAAGAGATAAAATTGACGCATCCAAAAAAGAAGAATGAAAGCATTACAATTTTTAGTTGAAGTTATCATCATCAATTTATACACTTTCAGAGTTGAAAAGAGGGGGGAGGGGGTAAGACAGAAAACAGAAAAATTGATTAACAGAAACAGTGTTAGCTTGTAGGTTCACATGGCAACTCCAAAAAACAAAAGCATTTACAGTTTATAAGATTGAGATTTGCTCAGTGAGTTGAGATCACTGAATTAGATGACTAATCAAAATCAAAATTCAGTTACCAAGGGAGTGAGAGGTTAATCACACTCTCTTTCTGTATGCATAAGTCTGGTTTAAATCGTTTGATTGCGATCGCTTCGGCAAATCGTAGTAAATTTGCTGTCCTTTGTCTATTTAATATTTTGAAGGACTTAGAAATCTCCACGAGATGTCCGGTATCAACAATATGTCTGGTAATTGCACTCTGAACATATTCCAAGAAACCTATTCCTGAAAGGAAGCAAATATTCTCAGAGTGCAATTACCAGACATATTGTTGATACCGGACATCTCGTGGAGATTTCTAAGTCCTTCAAAATATTAAATAGACAAAGGACAGCAAATTTACTACGATTTGCCGAAGCGATCGCAATCAAACGATTTAAACCAGACTTATGCATACAGAAAGAGAGTGTGATTAACCTCTCACTCCCTTGGTAACTGAATTTTGATTTTGATTAGTCATCTAATTCAGTGATCTCAACTCACTGAGCAAATCTCAATCTTATAAACTGTAAATGCTTTTGTTTTTTGGAGTTGCCATGTGAACCTACAAGCTAACACTGTTTCTGTTAATCAATTTTTCTGTTTTCTGTCTTACCCCCTCCCCCCTCTTTTCAACTCTGAAAGTGTATAAATTGATGATGATAACTTCAACTAAAAATTGTAATGCTTTCATTCTTCTTTTTTGGATGCGTCAATTTTATCTCTTCTCTACTACTACTCAAACATTAAAGTATGTTATTATCATTTATATAACCATTGTAATTTCAGGTAGTCTGCAGCTGATGAGAACCTGTGAAATAGAATTATATCATTTTATACTGCAAATTTCGTCTTCCTTTCTTTATCGAAATTTATCAAGGGAACCACTTGTATGAATAAAAATAATTTTTATGTTGAGAAGAGAATAAATTTTGAGAAGAAATACTTACTGTGCCAAAGGGCACTATATTCAATATAATAACATAATAAAGCATGAGTTTAGCAGAGTTCTAAAATTTTTGCAGCCCATAATTTTTCAGACGCTACCACTGGCTTCTTCATTTTTTTAACACACTTTCTGTATTTGTTGGTTATCACTTTACAAATTACGAAATAATGTAAAAGTTCGAGTCAGCTCCTTACGTCAGGAATCCTACATAGTTCTTTTCTTCCAGTGGATACAATGTGAATTTCACTCACAGTGAGTGAGACACCTTTATTTTAGACTATCTGAGCTTCTATAAGCTTTCTGATACCAGTGGTTTGTTTATTTCGATTCAGTGTCATAAAGCTGTCATTTATTCAAAGTGAAAAGAATCGGTGAAAAGGTTTTAAGTGAGACAAAAGAAAACAAACAGTTTACAAACATCTTTTAAGCAGTCGGCTTAATAATGTCTGTGAACTATAAGAGTGTTAAATAAGCATAGGGATAAAGTGAAAGAGATGTTTATTTATCTTAAACAAACGTAAATTCAGTCAGGGACTCAGAACGTTAGTACCCGTTGTCTTTCATACCTGCACAGGTTATGGAAATGGTGAGGAATTTCATCATGTCGAATAAAATGGGGTCAAAAATATGGAAAATATCATGATTAGGAAAAGAAGTCATGCAGACAGCATGACTAAGACACATTAGATATGCTGGACTCGTTATGGATAGGACGTATCAATTTCATGGTGTTCACTATTAACATATTTAGATGACAATAACTACTAAGCAAATAAACAAAGAAAAAATAGTCAGTTATGTTACAACTCATTGAAAGAACAAAAATATTAGAATAGAAATATGGAAATATATAAAAACCTAAGAAGTAAAATATATGTCTTGAGGTCAGTGTTCAGTCTGCCTATGGATTTCTGTTATGTGTTAAAAGGTGGTCCTCATTATTTCGTAATTACTGATAGTTAAATCTCCGACTTGGATGATGCGTTTTCCTCAGAAAAATGTGAATTAGTGAATCACTGGTTATGACTGGGCATTAGCTTGAAAGCAGATTAATATTTTCTGTAACCTTCTTCATATGGACGCATACAGTAGTCATGTAGTAAGAATTTATGTTTGTCAAAAAGGTGACTATAGAAATTATCCTCCAAAAGTGATTTATGTTCTTATCTATGCTAAATCGCATTTAATCGGACACGAAATCTCTTGAAGACTAACGAAGTGAATAAAAAGCATTTAAACAAAAAAATTTTTTAAGGAAATTAGCTAGTTTGCTTTCCTCCTTTTTATGTTTGTAGTTATGAGTACATAGAGCTAAGCAGAGTTACTTAAAGATTTTGTGTTATCCTATTTTTGCATAAAATTGTTGTCTGCATAAACAAATGGACTTGGTAATGTATATAATAATAATAATCTACTTTATTCCAAAAACAGTACTTATAATACGGAATGGAATTCTCAGCATTTGTCAAAATATATTCGAATAAGATACGAAGATGTGCTCTGTGCATCTCTCCATAATATTCCAGTTTTAGTCTTTCCTTAAACGTAAACTTTTTATGCCTGAAGTTCCGTATTTTAACGGTTAATTTTTACTGCTAGATCTTTGGAAAGAAAAGTGTCTTTGACGTTTTGTAATCCTTGGGTTCTGAACAACAGCTGAAGAATTGGTCAGTTATAAACTAGGTACCAGGCAGCAGGTTTGAAAATTTCTGTTTCTTAAATTGCATAGTCTGAAAAGACTCTGGATGAATAAGAAAATTATCCGATGACTCTCCGGTTGTGATAGGCTTTAGAATGTTTCATTAGACTAACATTTTCTTTGTCATCTGAATGTTTAACGTGATGACGGAATTCTGAGGATTACCGGTTTTAATATGATGCTAAGTAGCTCATAGTTTTCTCAGAGCTTCTTTATAAATCTGTAATTCTGTGTTAATTGTTCTTAACTAACTAGCGAATAAAATGCCGCACATTAACTTAGTAGATAAGCAAAATTAGTGTCTATATATCGCATGTGTTGTAAGACTTATTTCAAGTACGAAAATATGCAGAACAAACATTCCATGGAATGAGAGTAATTGGTTCCATTTGATAGTATGCTCAACGTTTTTAATTTCTGTTAGTTCCTGTTTCATACATAATATTGTTTGCCTTGATGATTTTAAAATCTTAAAGCGAGTTCACTCAGAACATCATGTCATTTACATAAAACACAATATCTCCAGATAAATATCTTTCGGAAAGATTTTCATTACTATGAATGCTGTTCTCTTTCTTCTGCAATCACTAATCATTCATATATTTGTGAAAATTTCAATAGCCCACATGATTATATTATTCACATTTAAACTTATGTTCACGAGTATTTAGTGTCAAAGGTGATAATTCAACTGTAAAATACCTGGTTTTCTGTAGAACTTCAGTGTTTATTGTTGACTAACATCAGTGGAAGTTAAAGATTGCCAACTCAATAGCACTGAACAGCTCAAAGGTTAATATACCTTCATAAACCTTATGCTTTTACCTGTATTTCTTTGTTTGTGTAACCTTGCATCAGAAAAACGATGAGTTGTATTAAATGTATATCAAAAAACAAAATTAGATAATACTAGTGAGAGGATAAATCACCTAAATCTTACCTTTAATACACGGTGCATCATGAAGACGTGTTTGTTTATAGCCATCTTGACAACGATTGCAAGCTTGTCCAATAACTCCTGGTTTACACGGACACTGGCCAGTTTTACGATCACAGTGTTGATTGGGAACTGATCCGATTGGATGACATCGACATTCTACAAGTAATACACTCATAAACGTTTAATCTTTTCTTTTTACTTTGATCAAGGTGAATAACCCATAAAACAACATGCTTAAAAAGTTTTCTAGTGGTAAAATAATATATATATATATATTCATCCCACATAAAAAACATGCAGTTTGAAAGCGACATAAGATGCAGAAATATATATATATATATTCATCTTATCAGTGATATTGTTGAAGTCGTTCATACTTGTAAGTAGCGACTTCACATTGAAACTACTATTATACATCAATTTTTAATACACGATTCACCATGAACAGATGCTTTAAACATATTGATGTGAATTAAATAAGGTTTGTATCCAAAACAGTTTTGTTCTTTCTCGTTTATAACATAGTTATGATTTCTAGACTGCTATTCATTTACACTTGATATTTGGCATGACACTGGAGCATATGTTAAAAAAGAAATGGATAACCAGCTAAAAGGATGATCGTTCATCTTCTGTTGTCATCCACATCTTTTAAAACACTTCCATTCCTTGGACTTTCTTTAATCATCGCTTAAATCGTCCTCCTCATTTTGTTATTCTTTCAGAACGTCCAAAGTAATATGTGTTTCTCTCAAATAATGCAGATAAGGACACAGCTAAAAATAATACCATGCACTTTGTTGCATGAAAGCCAAAATAAAGAGGAAACTACTGAGTGTCTAAACCACTGCAGTTTGTATTGCACAGTATGTCTCTACTCTTCACCATTGACATTAAGTTACGCATATCCTTCAACAGTATTTATCATACTAAAATGGGTCCGCACACATGTATATCTTACCCAGACAGACTTGGTCGTGACTAACAGGTTTTGTCCAGTCCCTATAATAACCTGTCGCGCAATTATGACACCTTCGCCCTACCGTATTGTGCTGGCAGTCTTGACATACACCACCGCTTACTTTCATCGACATCAAATATAACTGATTTGAAAAAATACACGAATTTGAATGCAAATTGCAATCACATCCTGATCATTGTTATTATTCGTGCATTCATGCATTAAAAAGTACATTCGCAATGTGGAATGCAGGAATTCATGCAGCGTTATTTATTTTTGTTTTTAAATAACAATAAAGAAACACCGATATATGAGATATCACAGTTGTTACCACAGCAACATTGAATTTTGAAGCACATTGTTTGGTTAGCATTGTATGGTTAGGATTGTAGAATGGATATAGGACGAATAACGAATCGGTAAACGGTTTGCCCCATCATGTTATTTTGCGAGGAACAGTAAGTTATTAAATTTGATAGATAAATAAATAAGCATAACAACAATAATGAATTAGTCACAAATAACAACGACAACAATAGCAAAGTTAATCACGTTGACAACAGACAACATCGATACTGACATGAAAAAATACAAATATCAATCTAAAATATTTCGATACCATATTTTTGGGGTTAGTTGATAATAAACTTTAAGAACTTTCCTAGCTTGTCTTTGTTATCATTAACTGCCTACCTCGACATGCTTGCTCATTTCCAATGGGTAGTTTCAGATCACGATAATAACCAGTTATGCATTGATCACAGTTTGGACCTTCAGTATGGTGCTGACATGCGACACATACACCACCGGTTTTACCACCGGAACGTTTGAATGCTTTTACGCTGAACACACACTGATTAGTGTGGTTACCGCACTGACAGGCTATTTTGAAAAAGGAGGTGAAGTTATTAACCAAAGAATCCATTAAAATAAAGAATTGTCAGCATAATTATCCTTATAGGTTCTGATTCTCGTTACCAATTGTAAATAGGTTATTAAGTCATTTATAATTTACTCCACCTAGATAAAGTAGTTAAAGTTGGACGACATGGAATTAAATAACTGTTTTAACTGTAAACACTAGAACAAACTAAATTCAGAAACAGTTACTTGCTCCTGGTGATATCCACAGAAATTCATTTTCACTATCACTATTTCTACAATTCCCATATTTTTGACGTTAGCTTTAAAAGTTACACCTGTTTAGCGGCTCCATAAATGCAATAAGACTTCATATGCCCTCAATCATTATAGAAACGTATTCACTCTAGTTGTTTGTTTATAATCATTTGCTCTTCTTTTCCAAATGAAAATGAATAGAACCTCGAAGCCAAGTTTTCTCATATGCAATTTTGTAGCTGATAAAAAGGTGGAATTAATCTCTCTGTTGAGAGAATATGAAATTATTAATTTCCAGACTACAGAATGGTATTGTTCATAGAAATTATACTTAACAAATTCTACATGGTGAAAATATATTGCCCATCCTGCGACTGTGTTAATTCACCGAACTTCATAAAATTCAACCATGTTGATTACTCAGCCAAATAAATATAAGCAGCACAAGACTGCCCGACTGGTATCCATGTAATGCGTGATTACGGAAGGTGAAACGGAAAACTGGACCGCTAGAAAATTTGATTTGGCGTATTTCGAATCTCTTGATTCTATCAGCAGAGGGTCTCTCCGTTAATTCTGGCATTGTTGTTTTCAAATCCTGTCATGATCCAAATTTTCATTTCACCTTCAACCATCGTTTATTATGTATACAATTGTTGCTTTTAAGGGGAATTTTAGTTACCTAGGTTTAATATAACTGAATAAAATAATATGTTTCAGTCAATCAGTAAAAAATATCAATGGAATTAATGTGACATTACTGTTATTATTATTATTTTTGCAATAATATTTACTACTGGTAGATTTAGTTAACATTCAATATGACCAACTTGTCTGTGGCTTTCGAAAGTTACTCACCAATTTACATTTCTCAAATTTAGAATTTTGCTTAGTTTATAAGTAGATTCTGTTGTGTTCCCATTTAAAAGTTTCGTTAAAATCTTTCATGGAAAATATCTGACTACTACCTGATGAATAACAGATCAACCAAATTATGCTTTCAGGAATATTCTTACCATCTTCAAATGACAATAGAAAACTTCTTAAAGTAAAGGACCTCTGAACTAAACTTTCGTTCTAGTTTAAAAATTTTATGCTCAGCAAACACAGTGGCATTTAGTTGGAATTAAAGGTACAGAGGTCCCATGCTAAGGATGTTACCATCAATTTGCTAGAATGAAATTTAATAGCTCGTTTTTTTTTCTCACTAGCGATATCGCTTTTAATGCACTGCTTTTGGAAACTCTTCCGATTTACGAGAATTTACTAAAGAATTTGCGTCTGTCGATAAGGTCAAACGAAAAAATTTCAAAAATAAATTCAGAAACAGTTATTTTCTGTACTTCTTAGTATCCACTGGTACTTAGTTTAGTGAAAACTAACTTGATATTCTATTATGGTTCTTTTCAGTTGTCACCAGTACATTTTAATCCCTAAACTTCTATCATATTAATGTTGTCTGGTGGCTGAAGCGTTGGTTTGTGCTCAGTAAAACAACATAACAGTCTGGATGCTGTTTTCTCTCTTTAGATTACCGTAGAAATCTAATAAGTTAAATCCATTCTTCTAACTAATTATATCCCATCATTTATCAATTCTCGATCCTCGGAAATACAGTTTAGTGAATCTCGGCATGTTATTTCGAGTACCAAGTATGAAAATAGAAATTTATGTAGATTTACCTTTCTCAGGATTTATGTGTTCCTTTATCTTGTGTACTATTTGACGTATTACTGGAGTGAAAGCTCACATGCTGAATACTGGTGATATTCTCAACTTCACTGGAAGTGAACGCAAGTTCATAGGTATGAGATAAAATTTCATAAAAGCGGTGGTTAGGACAACTACCAAAAAAGTTAGTATCACTTCAAGGTATTCTGATAATTAAAATAAATCTACCTCAGACATACTTCTTACATCAAGAAAATGACTTACACATTAGTAATTTAATTTCAGAGATGCTTTGCAATGTAAGCAAAAGCTTCCATTATGGGTGAAAGTTATTTTGATTAAGTTTCACCGTATTATACTGATGACGTTTCGAGCACAATTTATTACTTATAATCATATCAAGGTACTCACACCACTTTCTAGCTTCGTTTATATAATTCTATTATTTTTCATCGCTTGATTAGATTTTTGTTTTAGTATTTTCCATATTTCCGGTATGAGTGATGAGTCATTCCTATTGCACGTGTTGGGTGTAAGTTCGATCAACAAGGATTTAGTGCTCGAAACGTCATCAGTAAATATTACTGTATAACACAGTGAGACTTTATCAAAATAAATTTTACTCAGTTCACAAGTTCTATTTTTATAAGCAAAAGCTTTTTAACACACCACACAGTGAAAAAAGTATATGAAACCATCGAAAAATCACTGTCGCTGAACAATTTTGCTTAAATTACAAAACGCTATTCACTAACTTCTGACTGAGATGGTTAAATTAAAGATTTCAAGACTTATAAGTAAAATTTAAGTTCCAAGATGGTCTCTTCGTGATGTTGTGGAGAGATTAGTCGAAAATATTTTGTTAATACGAGGATTACAGCTGCTGTGAAAACTCGCAATATGATTCTTTTTAACTGGTAATAGGTGAAATTAAGGAAAGCATGCATCGTATACAATTTTAAAAGGAAACTGTTTGCACTTTTCGAAGTCTTTCCTAACTGATACTATTTGATCCCATATATTTCTCTTAATCCATTTTAAATATCTGCATCTGCATGTAAATGCCATGCAACAGAAATATTTCTTTATTTACACATTTATTGCGTTATATTACACTTTTAAAACCAAACAGATGATAAAAGATAATTTCGTAAATTAACATACATTAGAAGACTACGTTCCTGCAAACAGACTGTGAAGTGGTCAGTCTTCAAAACTATGTTTCTCTATGCATACCTCTACGTCATCTGTTTTCTTTATTGTTTTTTTTTCACTTCAGATTAATGCTTATCGGGAATAATAGTTTTTGACAGCGCAGACAAATGGCTGAAAACCATCGTCAATTCCTACAAATATTTAAACACAAACATACACAAACTAATTGAACAAGTACTTATGGACTGGCAACTAGGCACACTATCAAGGTTTTGGTGTTGACCACCTACCAGTATCGTTAGCATATTGCAATCACATAAATATCTATTTGTCATCATCCCCTTAGTCCCAGTATTTGTTTGTGTTGATAAAGGTATATGCACCTACGCACATATACCCCTGTCATTATAATGGAATTATTTTCATGTTTAGATGATATATTTTATTACCGTTTGGTGGGCTTATAAATTTTCTACACACATTGGTGTAAAAGTGTTCTACAAATTTTATATATATATATATATATATATATATATATATATGTTCACGTAGTAATAACACTAAAGTTTGTCGACTAAATGTGAGAATAATGTTGATAATGTACATTGAAAATAGATGTGTTGAAATACAAGAATGCAAAGAATCAAAACAGACTGACAAATTAGTGACGAATATTAACAACTGCTGTTTAAAAGAAAAGGCGAGAAGACAGAAAAATATGGAAAGACACTAGACCAATTAAGCTTTTTCTCTGGGTTTTTGAAACTCTGACAAAGCTAAACATGATTCCACTATAATTAACCCTAGCAATTATAAAGAAGATAATAAAAGTGAGATTAACGAAATGAACAGTGTTCAAAAGTAGATGTATCTTCATAATTTTACACTAGCCAGCACTCTTTTAAAGATTTAACTTCGGTATGTCATATGTATAAAGGATCTACTCCCCTTAAAGAAGATAAAACCTTAAATACGATGAAGAGTGTTTTACTCAGTATATACGACTGAGAACTCTTTAATTAGTTAACCCTTAATAACCTATATATATCCACACTTATAATCCTCAGCTTTTAAGTTAAATGACACATTCATCTGATTTCACATGAATCATGAATGTTCACCTTGAATAATACTTACACGATCTTTACATCTAAATCAAATGTACTCTTTGTATAGGTAAATTAAAGTAGAATGTGAAAAATAAATCACCCTGCTAATATTTGGAAAACAAAATCTCATGTTTG